TAACCTGACCTTCAGAAAACAAAGAAATATGTATTTTTTTATATACAGTATAGTGTAAAGGTGTGTGTCGTCAGTGTGACGTCATAATGTTGAAGATGTAACAGGTTTTAGGTCCTGCACTAACGTGTGTGCGCGCAAATTCTTATAGTCAATATTTGGCTTATGAATAAGTGCATATGTGACAGACTATTTTTTGGGAATATTTGAGTTTACCTGAAAAGCTGAATAGAAAACCAGAACCTAACCTAACCTTCTTAGTATGTTAACATAAGTATTTTATGGCTTCTTAATTACCTATATTGATATTACAGTTTTATAAAAATAATAAAACAAAACTAAAATATCTAAATAAATTGTAAAGTAACTCAGGAAATTGTCAAATTTTTGTATAAAATCTCTATTGTTTAATAAGACTTAAATAGAAGAGTTAGTGCCTTGAAAAAAATAGAACTTGGAATATATCATATATTTACTTATTCATCAGCCAAATATTGACTATAAGCAATAAGAACCCATAAACCAACCCACTTGATATGGATATTCGTCCATATATGGAAATATATAGGACATTTTGAGTCCCTATATTTCGATATATGGATGAATTAACTTTTTTTTAATTTGAACCCATAAACCAACCCATTTGATATGGATATTCATCCATATATGGAAATATATAGGACATTTTGGGTCCCTATATTTCCACATATGAATGAATTAACTTTATTTTTTAATATGATTAGGATATGTAACTGGCACGAATATAGTTGTACAAGGAGCCCGGAGGCCTCCTCCAAGTACCTCCAAGTACTTGGAGGTACTTGGTAGGTGTGAGCGTTAAGTGTGAGGGAGGAAGTTGTCACAGGAGGAGTGAGTGAGGTAATTATGAGGAGTGAGTGAGTGTGTTGGAGGCGCGCTGGTCATAACTCACACTGTGTTGACACTGCACTTGACGGCCGGTCATCCACACGCAATTAATCCTCTTCTGTTTGCTGGTAGGCTGTTGCGCTCGCTTTTGTTTCCAGCGTGTGTTTGTTGCTTGTACGTGGGGGGGGGGGGTGCTTGGTTGTTGATGAGTCTTCTGTTGTGGTTGTTGACGCCTCTGTTGTTGTTTACTGGTTAATGTTGGTCGTTATAGTTCTTAATTCCGGTTGTAACAAGTGGTAGTTTAATAACTTCTTCCGCAGTTTATTGCCGTCGTCTTGTACCGATGTGAGCACCATCAGTTGATGGGGAACAGGATCCCCCCCGCCCCTTGTCTCTCTGCATGTGTTATATTGTCTGAAGGAAAATTTATAGCGGGAGTGGTCGGTCAGTCTCTCTCTTTCTCTCTCTCTCTCTGTCTCTCTCTCTCTGTGTCTCTCTCTCTCTGTGTCTCTCTCTCTGTCTCTCTCTCTCTCTGTCTCTCTCTCTCTCTGTCTCTCTCTCTCTCTGTCTCTCTCTCTCTCTCTCTCTCTCTCTCTCTCTCTCTCTCTCTCTCTCTCTCTCTCTCTCTCTCTCTCTCTCTCTCTCTCTCTCTCTCTCTCTCTCTCTCTCTCTCTCTCTCTCTCGCGCGCGCTCGCTTGCGCGTGTGTGTGTGTGTGTGTGTGTGTGTGTGTGTGTGTGTGTGTGTGTGTGTGTGTGTGTGTGTGTGTGTGTGTGTGTGTGTGTGTGTGTGTGTGTGTGTGTGTGTGGGTGTTTGTGTTGTGTTAAGGGTGAAAACAGTATTTATATTCCCCAAGACTTTTTTCTCAGGTCTAGAGTAGCTACATACATGTAGTATCTATGTACTTGTACCAGCAGTACCTATGTACTTGTACCAGCAGTACCTCTGTACCTGTACCAGCAGTACCTGTGTACCTGTACCAGCAGTACCTGTGTACCTGTACCAGCAGTACCTCTGTACCTGTACCAGCAGTACCTACGTTAATAAGCAGCTGCCACAGCAGTTCCCTTGGCGAAGTGGTAAAACACTATCCTGGCATTTCGCGAGCGCTTTGGGCTGGGTTCGTATCCTGGCCGGGGAGTATTTAATTTTATTTTATTTTTATTATTTTCTACCACAGACGTGGCCACACATTTACAATGCTAACCAGCATATATACATTTTCTTCTGTCCTCCATGGACAGGGTTAGAGATCTGCGGGGAGGATTGACTGGGCACCAATCTTTAACAGTATCCTCTGTTCACCCAGCAGTGAATGGCAACCTGGCTGTTATACGATTTAGCGGGTCGTATTCCGGGGAGAAATTAGGATTAAGGACTTGCCCGAAACGCTACGGTGCTGGTGGCTGTACAAGAATGTATATTGTGTATATATATATATATATATATATATATAT